ATCTACTATCTTGCACATATAGAACTTAGAACACACTAAACGTTTTGCATCGACTATCTTACACATATATAATTAGAAAAATACTAAACGTTTTGTATCACTATCTTACACATATAGAATTAGAAAAATACTAATCGTTTTGCGTCGCTATCTTACACATATATAATTAGAAAAATATTAATCGTTTTCTATCACTATCTTACACATATATAATTAGAAAAATACTAATCGTTTTCTATCACTATCTTACACATATAGAATTAGAAAAATACTAATCGTTTTCTATCACTATCTTGCACATATAGAATTAGAAGAATACTAATCGTTTTCTATCACTATCTTGCACATATAGAATTAGAAAAATACTAATCGCTTTGCATCACTATCTTGCAAATATACAATTGGAACACACTAATCATTTGGTATCACTATCTTCTACATATAGAATTAGAACACGCTAATCGTTTTGTATCAATATCTTACACATATAGAATTAGAACACACTAATCGTTTTGCATCACTATCTTACACATATAGAATTAGAAAAATACTAATCGTTTGGTACCGCTATCTTACACATATATAATTACAAAAATACTAATATTTTGTATCACTATCTTACACATATAGTATTAGAAACACTAATCGTTTCGTATCACTATCTTACACATATAGAATTAGAACACACTACTCGTTTCGTATCAATATCTTACACATATAGAATTAGAAAAATACTAATCGTTTTGTATCACTATCTTACACATATAGTATTAGAAACACTAATCGTTTCGTATCACTATCTTACACATATAGAATTAGAACACACTACTCGTTTCGTATCACTATCTTACACATATAGAATTAGAAAAATACTAATCGTTTTGTATCACTATCCTACACATATAGAATTAGAAAAATACTAATCGTTTTGTATCACTATCTTACACATATATATAACTAAGAATCCAGTTATTTTAAAAGCAAGGAAACTGTTGCTGGCATTGTGTTCGACCTGTACATTGTGTGGATTATATTGGTTAGTAGATAAAACAAATGTTAGTAATTTTTAAACTGCATACGATGCGCTTAAACAATAGGTACGAAACTAAATATTCCAATGAAGTAAATGTTGTATTGAAATTTATATACTTCTGTCAAAATACATAATATGTTCTGTAAAATCTTGCACAATGTTACAACTGATAATAAGTCCTAAATGAGTCCTGAAGGAATGGTAAAGTAATATTTTCACCATTAACCAATCTCAGTACAAGATACAATATAACAAGCTGGTTCAGTGTGAGCTTAATTTCTTTTTTTGTCCAAAGGCTTCTCGTGAGCAATTAAAATCTGATATTCAATAAAAAGTGAAAACATGATTACCAAGTAGACATTCACCAAATATATATATATATATATATATACATTGTAAGGGTTTAAAATAAAATGTACATTTTCTTCTACACTGAAACGCAACATAAGAAAGAAATAACGTTTTGGACTAAATAAAAATAAAATAATAAAATTTTAAAATCAGAGTATCATCAGGATTTCACTATATTACTTTACACTCTCCAACAAACGGATTGAAAAAGTATGGAATCAGAAACGTTTTCGAACTTTTTAGTGTACTGGAAATCTATGTCTTTATAGGCTTTATAATTATCAATAACTTCTGGTCAAAGCGAGCTACTTACATATATCAGAACTAAACTTAACCCAGGATTTAGCGTAACTAATGTAACTAATTCAATACTGGTCTACCTTTATAACATTATCAATATCGTAGTATATATGGTGCTGCCATCTATCGCTACACCATTTAGCTAAAAGCTTCTGTTGCAATTAATAGTCTTTCAGAGATTTATGTTTGCAATTTTTTTTCGATTTTATGTTTTCTTTCCGTGTCACTCTTTGCTGTTATTTTCAAAGTTATTTATAAAATTTCACATAAGGTTTTAGAGCAATTTCATGGTATCTAAGTAAAATTAATAACTATACCATACATACTCTACGAAAGTTGTTCTCAACCTGTGGTTCTCATACCTCTGGAGAGTACGCGAAAACTTTTGAAAAAACAGTAAAAGAAAATAAGCCTCACACCTCAAAATTGGAGAGCATTCTCGATGAGTTATTAACATATTCCACCATGCAGCTCTCAACGTTTGCACGCTGTTGAGTCACTTTTGGGTTATTTATTTTGATTTACCTTTTTATTAATATAAATTACCCTTAAGTTGTTGTTCTTTAAAAATATATATATAGGGTAAATAATTTTTATTTAAAAACTTACGACAATCGGTGTTTTTTCACACGGTGTTTTTTGACGTTCTGCCCATTCCTACTTCGTGTTGCTTTTAAACTAAATGAAAGGCGTATATAGCTTTTTTTTGTTTTGTTTTTTTGTTTTTTGAATTTCGCGCAAAGCTACACGAGGGCTATCTGCGCTAGCCGTCCCTAATTTAGCAGTGTAATACTAGAGGGAAGGCAGCTAGTTATCACCACCCACCGCCAACTCTTGGGCTACTCTTTTACTAACGAATAGTTGGATTGACCGTCAGATTATAAAGCCCCCACCTGTTTGGTGGGACGGGTATTCGAACCCGCGACCTGCAGATTGCGAGTCGAGCTCTCTAACCACCTGGTCATGCCGGACCTCCGATAAACTGAACCTGTATACATTCTTTCACTCCCGAGGCACAGCATCGTCATAACCCGATAAACTAAACCTATATACCTTCTTTCACTCCTGAGGATCAGCATTGTCATAACCCGATAAACTGAACCTATATACCTTCTTTCACTCCTGAGGATCAGCATTGTCATAACCCGATAAACTGAACCTATATACCTTCTTTCACTCCTGAAGATCACCATTGTCATAACCCGATAAACTGAACCTATATACCTTCTTTCACTCCTGATGATCAGCATTGTCATAACCCGATAAACTGAACCTATATACCTTCTTTCACTCCTGAGGATCAGCATTGTCATAACCCGATAAATTGAACCTATATACCTTCTTTCACTCCTGAGGATCACCATTGTCATAACCCGATAAACTGAACCTATATACCTCCTTTCACTCCTGAAGATCACCATTGTCATAACCCGATAAACTGAACCTATATACCTTCTTTCATTCCTGAGGAACAGCATCGTCATAATCCAATAAAACCAAGCATGCATATTTTATGTTTAGGGTTTAAAACAACTGTGACAAAATAAATCCTCTCCAAACCATTATCGTAAAGTTTTATTTTTACGGACCTTTCCACTCCCGGATACAGGGTTAACACAACTTCTTATAGAGACTGGACAGTCTGTGTTGCAATCAGCAATTCTAATAACTGATGTTTTTGTGTGTTTTGAAATTAATATAACCTATTCCATTTTTCTTTACACTTATTTCATTAATTCATACTGATTACAATGCTAATAATATATATATTTTCGGTTAATTTGTATGCTTATAAAGATTATTTTGCATTAATACATTACCTAAAAATAATCGTAACAAACATTGCAATATCTTATTGTTTTCTTCCTGCAAAGCGACATAATTGGCTTTCTGCACTCTGTCCACCGCGGAGAATAGAGACCCGAATTTTAGCATTGTAAGCCTTTAAACTTACTGCCATCCCAACGAGGGGCAGTGCTATATTAATTTGATATTCAAATTTGTTTATTGGATTTAAATTCATACATTTCAAAAGAGAGCTGTACCATTTCAAAACAACTAACGTTTAGTGACGAGAGACTTTTCAGACATAAAATGCATAAGTTCATTTTTTCACTAAAGTATATTAGGTAAGCATTGGAAACAGAAATCCAAGAACAGATAATTAGTGTGTGTTTCAAAAAATAATTAAAACTATTCAAACTTAAACTTCCTACCTTTAGGAGAACACGTTTTAGTTTTGTTTTGTTTTTACGAGGAGAAAACAATGTATGTTTATCATACTTTTAAGGTTTTATGTTTGGTTCTTGATAATTCTAGTAAATTTAAGCACGCAGGATACGAATAAGATGTTTGTTTATTCTCTTAGAAATACAAACTGATATGGTATAAACCAACTATCGCGAGAAACGTTCATAAAATTGTTTTTCATTTTGTTTTTATCAAAGGCAATTAGTTTTCCAATAATATCTAAAACATATTAGGATTACGTAGAACAAGTTTTTCTTTTCTTGAAACACTCAGTATTCAGACAAAGAAAAGTGTTTAGATAAAACTTAACTAATGAAAATACGAAAAGAATAAGTAATTAAGTAACAACAAGTTTGCAAACCCTTCTTTAACATAATGTCAGTGACTTCCAATTGTCAGCAAGTCTTCGTTGTTTCCTGAAAGATATTATTCAGATAAAAATCCACGTGTGTTATTTTTTATTACTTTACATTCGAAATTCTCAACTGAATAGCTTAAGTGATTATTAATTAATTATAATTTCTGAAGCTGAGTGCTGTTTGTTTGTTTGAAGTTAAGTACAAAGCTACACAATGGGCTATATGTGCTCTGCCCACCACGGGTATCGAAAGCCGGATTCTAGCGTTGTAAGTCCGCAGACATACCGCTGTGCCACTGGGGGCGCTAAGTGTTGTAAAGCATCTTACGTCGCAAATATGTAAACATTTTAAATGTGAACTATAGTTTATACAAAATGGTGGCGAATGCAACATTAAAATCGCGATATCTGTGGTTTCTAATAATACATAAAATACGTGTTTTTTTCAGTATTTCTAGATTCTTGGTGACATAAATTTTTTAAGGCCCATCCCAGATTAAATTACTATATGTTTTTGTTTTTCATGGTAATTTATGGTTAATTTTTTAATAAAAGAAATATTATTGTGTTTATAGCGCTTTAAACTTCATAATATTTTTATGATTAATGATGTGCTTGAAAATGTGATTATCTTGAGCATATTGGCATTAAGCAATAAAACAAAGAGCACTTCCGAAAACGAAACTGAAACCAGACGCCTGCAACTGACGTGTGAATGAGTTTTCATATAGTGTATAATGTCCGAAGCAAAAAGCTGCCTCGTGTTTTTTGTTGTTGTTGTTTATTTATTTATCTTTATTTTTTAGAAACTTTCTTTCAAACCAATAGTAACGAAGACGTTACTTAATTTCATTATCGAAATCAAAATTAATCTTATAAATAAAAATATAAGAATGCTCATAATCTAGTTAGTAGCGAAATGATATCGACCATGTAGTGAAATTAGTTATTATTTTTGTGATGTAAAATTAGCTAACTCTGCAAGTCTGTTTCGATTATCCCAAAAGTGACAAAATTAATAATAACTATATACGTTTTTGATTACAAGATAAAGTTTTATATACTTTTTACACAATAATAGAGATAAATTACGTAATGAAAATATACGTATATCTTAGGAATGCCAAAAATTGTGCATATGAAGCGATAAATAGCTTTTCGTTTTTCATTTTCGTGTATCTTAACAATGTCAGTGAATAGCTAGAACATTGTGCCATACAACCTAGGCAACAGTTCAATCTCTGATGACATAAGTATCTAGTTCGTTTTATCATACTTAACAGCTCGTTCACTCTAAATAAGTAATGTTCTAGGACTGGAATTTTTGGCTACTTGAAAATGGTGCAAGTTATGTTTAGTTGTTTGTAATTATGCACAAAGCTACACAATGGGCTATCTGTGCTCTGCCCACCACGGGTATCAAAACCAAAATCTAACAAATTAAACCAACATTGGAGAGAACCGAATACAGTATCTTACCCATAATTCTGAAAAACAATAATGCACTAGACTGTAATCAGATTAATAGTACAAACATTAGAATATAAACAAGAATGGTGTTAACTTTGATAAGAATAGATATATTAAACCCACATCGTTCATAATATTATATGAATTCGACATTATTGAAAATTATTTACACAGCTGAAATATGTGTTATTTAGCACGTCATTAAATATTGCAATAAAATTAAGTCGTTTGATTCTTGTTCAAGTTGTCTAATAATGTATATTAAATATTAAAATACGGGTTCTTAACGGTTTGGATCTACACACAAAATCCATTTTACCAAAAAATAATAAAATTTCATTAAATTCTTCTTTTCTACTTTCACTTTGTTTCAGCCCCCTAGTGGCTCACAACGCTAGAAACCGGATTTCGATACCCCTGGTGGGAAGAGCGCAGATAGTCTAATATGCTTCAATTTCAAACAAACAAATACTTTGTTACAAATTAGTTATACTTCATTGCTGTATTTATATTATTCAAATAAGTTCAAATTCCGAATAAGAGAAATTTGAAGAAGAAAAATATTATGGTGTGATGTATATATATGTATATATTATGGTTCATAGCAAACGTGATCTTCTATGTATATCATAAATTCAAACAGTTGCGAAACTACACTAACGAGACTAAGATTATCCAACCTCTTATTTCAAATTAATTCATATAATCTTAGTAAAGATTTGTTTTGATAAACTTTGTTGGTTAACAGAAACGTACTTCATACAAACCCAATTAAAAGTTAAAGAACAAATAGGAAAGCATATTATTTTATAACAACATAAAAATCGGTAACTTTAAGTCCCTTATATGAGGATAAGTTTAAAATATCCATCATATTTCTTGAGAATGGCTTATTAGTGAAACATTTCATTTTAATACAATACATAGTTTCTATACTACGTCTTAAAACACTAACTCAGCTCTCCACTCAATAGAAAGCCTGCTTGTTATTTTGACATAAATATGTTTCATCTGGCACAAATATTCAAGAAAAATTTTTAGTTTCATGTAAAATTATAAGATAAAATAAAAGTAAGAACAGCATTTTTTTTATTTATTATCAAGCTCAATGTTGCCTTTACTAAAATGAACTTAATTGCTTCTTAGATCGACATGTCGTTATATTCAAACCAGAACCATTGATATAAGTATTCAAAACAGCCAATTTACCATAGATTGGGAATATTATGAGCCATTAAGAAAAACAATAGTAAACATGTTATTTTCTAGCCACGTAGGAGCACTGAGTATTTTCTGAATCTTTCTTTGGAATTTTGATGCTCATAGGATTGGTCCATGTCACTCTCAGAACTGAAAACTTACACGCTTTTAGTAATAGTACAAATTACTTTATACCAAAAGTCGCTCTCAGGTTGAGAACTTACAAGCTTTTAGTAATAGTACAAATTATTTTATACCAAAAGGCACTTCTCGGGAATGACGACTTACAGGCTTTTAGTAATACCATAAATTATTTTATATCAAAAGTCACTCTCAGGAATGAGAACTTACTTGCCACAAATCAGGATTCCAAGAATCAAAGAGAGCAGTGAAACCTTTAGGTTCCTCTTTTTGTTTTACTGTAATGATAACAGTGTTGTCCAAGCTACGTTCAGTCGGATCTGTGCGTATATAATTCTTAAAAACAAACATAAACGGTATTACATTCACGTGGTTGTACGAAAACAAAATAATAAAAACAATCAACCATCTTAGAAAATTCTAATTATTAGTATTACAATATGATCACTAAAAATAAAACAACAACAGCAAAACGTCTACACACATAAATAATAGCTTTGAGCCTGAAATTAAAGCTCTTGTATTACTATATATAGCATTCATAGAAAAGTAAGTTGTTTGTCTCCAGAATTCGTTCACTTTGTAACATTAATTCAGAGTAATTACAGATTTACATTTTTCAACAAGATACATCAGATAAAAATAGAAAATTCCACATAAAAAGCAAAAATCACAAAGCATCATCTACAATAATAAAAGAGCATGTCTGTGTGTGTGTGACCGCCATAGCTCCAAGAGGAAAGAACATAGAAATCTGAAATTTTGAAAGCATACTAAGAGAAACCTGAGAGTATGCACCTGGGTATTATGACTTATCCACATGCGTGCACGTACGCATATTTTTATGAGACAAGCTAGCGAAAATACAACATAGAAAGAAATGTGACCGCTATATCTACCAAGAAAAAGAACCTATAAAACTGAAATTTTGCACCCATACTAAGTGAACCCTGAGAGTGTGCACCTGGGTATTATTACTTATCGTATCCACGTGCGTGCGCATCTTTTTAATGAGGCAAGCTAGCGAAAAACCACGTGGAAAAGAAGTGGTTCATTATATTACAAATAGAAATCGCAGACAAACAGGCACGCAAGTGTGTGTGCATGCGCGCATGCGCGTGTGCACGTACTTGTCTGTGTATATGAGACCACCATATCTCCAAGACGAATCAACCTAGAAACATGAAATTTTGCACCAATACTAAGCAGATCCTGAGAGTGTGCAACTGGGTGTTATTACTTATTCATGTGAGTGCGCGCATGCGCATCTTTTTATGAGGCAAGCTAGCAATAAACCACATAGAAAAGAAGTGATTCCTTATATAACAACTTCTAATATATAGAAAAGCTAGTGCATTTTGGTAACAATGCGTTCAAACAATGGCATTTATGTCATGTTGCGTAGCAACAAAAGTCTATAGGTTATACTTTTATGCTAAAATGGGTTCAGAGTACACACACTATCAACCTAATAACCCGAACGAAGCTGGGTACTTTCGCTAGTATAAAATAAGTAGTCCAGAATAATATAATAATGTAAGAACAATGATTTTGAAAAATATTTCAATAAAAATTGAATATGCAAAGGAATAGTCTTAACTAATGTCTACCAGTATTTTCGCGGATTTATTTTAGAAATAAAAATTCACTCTGAAATGTATATCGAAAATAAATGCTACTCAAAACATTCAGACAATTAAATCTGCCAAAATTATCAGTCATTAATCAAAACATTTGTCTAAGATCTTGCGAAACTTTATTTTGTAACTACCAGGGTGTTGAAAAGTTGTTTAAAACATTTTAGTAACCAAATCATGTGCAAATACATTTTTGAGACATTAATCTAAGATTGTTAACTATATCTTATGGAGTCGCCATCTATCGATCACATATATAAACTTAAGGTTATCACTTTCATATTACACAAAGCACTACTAATTTTCTTTGTAAACACAAGATAATTACACGTACTTTCGATCGCAATAAAAAAATTGCTCTATTAATACAAATATTTTTTGTATTCTATATTTTACAAAACGACTCTTTAAGTAGCGTTTAAATATAACGGAGCAAAACAGGCAGTTAGAGGGTTACTTTAAAAGTAAATATCGCTATCAATATTTTTTACCTCAGCAAGCTGTAAAGACATCTTCTTTTCTTCTTCGCTTGCTCCATCTCCAATCCAAACAAACACTTCTTCTCCGGAATCCAGCACCATAACATCATCAACAGACAGGTCCTGTGTTAGTTGAGTATAAACACTTATCTAACCGACTACATCACCAAAGTTTAAAATAAATTAGGATTCCCTAATCGATTATAAGAACAATATAATAAAGTTATCGTTTCATATGACAATAAAAATTATGAGAACTTTCTAAAATTTTTAAGTTTTCTTTTCATGAAATCTCACATGCAGTGCCCGATTTAAAATATTTGAATCGAAACTCAACTAACTAGCATAACTTATTTGACTTCCTTACACTTAAACCTTATGTTTTTTTAATCCTCCTTGGTCAGTAGTAAGATTACGGACATAGAACGCTAGAATTCGGGGTTCGAACTTTTTTTTACTTAAAAATCAACCCATCATTTGTTCAGAAAAAGATTACCTGCACTTGACATCACACCATTCAATGCAATCATAAAGTAACAACTGAATAATGTAAGAAACATTAAGTTTTTACCTTGAAGAAGGATTGAATGAGTTAAATTATTAAATTATTTTCATGTTGTTTTATCATCACTTTTTATGCAGGTGATAGAAACGACTCTGAGAAACTTTCTTGACAGTCTTACCTTTCAAACTTTCGATCTTGAGTTTGTGTCTTCATAAATAATGAAAAAAAGTAATATACAATAACAGGTACGTTTTCCTCGCTAGAATAAAGCGCTAAATCCTAACACATAAACTTATCAATGTCTAAAGAATGGGAAATAGATTATACCTCTTGCGTAAAGTTGTAGATCTCTTCCACTTTGAACTTTACATTTTCAATAGAACACTTGAAAAGTCGTGACTCCAACAACGGCTTATCCGGCAGTTCCCGTGACTTCTGGTATTCACCTTTTCCTCCAATACTATTCCAGAACTCTTTTGGTTCTTGCTCTTCTTGAACTTCTACGATGTTTCTAACGAGTGAATATTTAAAATACTTTAGGCATTTCTTTTGTATGTAAACATTTATTAAGAACAAGATGTCAATTTTGACATGTGCGTTTTGTAAATGCATTATACTAAGATGTCGGTTTTAAGAACAAAAACATCTTATGAAGAGCCTTCAAGATCTAAAAATATATATTCTTGATTCTTATTCCAACTATCAAATCCTTAAAAAGTACTTAATGTCCTCTAGCATAGTAAATTAACCACTAGATCTAAAGTGATTTCTTTCAAAACATAGATTTAGATCGTTATAAAAATGAATGAACATTTATTTTAAGTGAATGCGTTTACATATATAATAGTAGTTGTTTTACCGGCCTGGCGAAATCGTTGGAGCAATATTCTTGGCCATGGTTTGCTCCTCTTCATTAGACTCCTACAAAAGGAAGAGGAACAATATTTAGTTACTCCAGAGAACAGCAATATGGTTTATAATACTTGTAGATGAATACAACAATTAGGACTTAACATAGTTTATATAAGATTTGTAGAGTTTTTGAATACTTTTTAACTCACCATGTATCTTAAATTAACTTAGGTGTGTGAATAACATTATGTCATGTACCTAATTTGTTATTCGATATTATACAGTGGAACAACTGTTTAATGATTATATATAGATATCACATATTTTCCTTTTTTTTTTTTTCAAAGATGAAATTATGCTTTAAATTTTTCCTTTGGCGAAAAAGAGAAAAAAATCTACAATATCTATATATAATAATTAAATAGAGTTTGTGTAGTTTAACTAAATCTTCTTCATTATCACTAGCGAAGCAGAAGTAACCAAATGGCATTTAGCTTCGATTAAGTGTTGTTGTTTTTTTATTAAGAAAAGCAAAATCAGTCTAAAATACGTCTTATCAGTTTACAAGAAAGGAACAGAATCGGTTAGCTTTCCTAAACCTACAAAAATTGGAGCTTGATTTAGAAATAAGTGATTCCCCGTTCATTCGGGTAAGGTTTACCAGAAAGACATCAATATTTACTGGTGTATCCAAACATCTAGTACATACGATCTCTTTAAGTTCTCAGACTAATAGAATAAATAAGTGTACTCCATTTGTGAAAAACGTTGAAACGTACAAAGATTCACTTCACTCAAAACTAAAATAGAAATTGTATATAATCAACAAATCAAGATATTAAAAAATATGGAAAATAAATGTTGGACAAAATATAAGATCACTGAAAGAAAGTATCAACTTGCAAAACGAAACTTAAGCCAACAAAGAGAATAAAATCAATGGATAAAGTTTAAGCCCCTGAAAGAAACAAAAAAAAAACGGACTGATTAAAAATGTCCAATGCAGGCATGGCCAGGTGGTTAGGGCGCTTCTACGCGCAATCTGAGGGTCGCGGGTTCGAATCCCTGTCACACCAAACATGCTCGCCCTTTCAGCCGTAGGGGCGTTATAACGTGACGGTCAATCCCAATAATCGTTGATAAAAGAGTAGCCCAAGAGTTGGCGGTGGGTGGTGATGACTAGCTGCCTTCCCTCTAGTCTTACACTGTTAAATTAGGGACGGCTAGCGCAGATAGCCCTCGTGTAGCTTTGCGCGAAATTCAAAAACAAACAATTCCTAACAAAATTCAATAGAAACGATAACTTTATAAAAAAGGGAGTTTATGCATTTACTTTAATTTTTAATTTTTAACTCAAATTTCTATAAGATTGCGTAGTTAAAAGGTGATTCATAGTTAATTTCACGAGTCGGTAATAACACTAGCTCGTGTTGCTTTGCGCGAAATTCAAAACAAGACAAATAAAATAACACCAGTTCACTCGCTTACTGTCACAAAGATTTTCTACGTAATTTATGAGGTTGCATTTACCTTTCCAATCCATATATATGTCATTTGTGGAGTCTCAAGCACGAAAACATCGTCAGAATTGAGTGATGATGTCTTTTCAGGAACCTTATGCAAGAACAACCAGAAAAATAGCTTTACATCTAGTAGAAAAATACACGCTCAGGTTTAACTTACTGAATACAGTACAGTTGAGTTTATACTGACTTATCTCCAAGACTTAGTGCATTCCGGGGTCTGGTGTATTAGGTCAAATACAAACAAAAATTGTGAATTAAAAAGTTAAAAACAGCCAAAATGAGATATAATATATATATATATATATAATAAAATGACGTTTCACCACCGTTAATGTAACATTATCAGAAATATATATACAATGAAACGACGTTTCACCACCGTTAACGTGGCATTATCAAGACGCTTTCTTTTCTATCCCATTTTAGCTATTTACGAATTGGATTTCTTTTAGTGTGTGGGATGATACCTTCAGAATTTATATTCTAAAAACTAACTTTTTAAATATAAGTCAAAGGTTTCAAACTGACACTTTGTGAACTGAATACAAATAATTGCATCTGAAAACAGATTTAAAAGTTCTTTTTAAATGAGTGCATCTTAAATTTATCTCGTTTATTATACTAATCTGTTAAATTTAGTGCATTTGTTAAGTACAAATAAACGGAAGTTGACTTTATTTGGTGAGAATGTTGTGCATACTAGCCTAAATACCAATTTATTAGTTTAGTTGGATTAAACTTCTTTAAGATTAATTTATAAAAACCATAAAGCTAAACTCATTTTTTTTAAATAAATGTGTTTAACAGTTTTACGTTTATTTTTTTATTATTATTATTCATACTTATGGTATTTGAAAAGTTTACGAGAGGGCCTTAAAAATTTAATCGAGATAAGTATTGACCTTCTAACCATTATTTATATTGGGTTATTCTAAAACCAATCAATTACCTTAGATTTGAAGGGTTTTTCACCCCAATTTTTTTAACATTTTTGAAATTCCTATGATATCCCTTATAAATTACCGAATAAAAAAGCTACTGAAAGTTAATCACACTTCATAACAACGGTCCTTGCTACTCATGGAATTACACTTTCCAACCTTCGATCGTGCTCAGCCTGATGATTATGATTGCCCAACTTTTAAGTAGGTCAGAAGCATAAATGTTTACTGGAGTTGTAGCATAGATAGACGTGACAGAAGGAATGTAGTCGAATGGGATTGTTATGATTTCGGATTCTTTGACCATCTTTCTCAGGAAAACAGGCAATGATTTCAAGATTTGGCTAAAAGCTCGTGAAATTTTGATACTGCGACAGTTATTGTCAAGCAATTTGCAAATATACATAACATCTCGACCACTACTATATCTCAGCCCGCCTAAAGAACAAAAGGCCTCGTCGACACTGGATATGGCAGATATTATTTGGTTGACAATATTGTTATGTTCGTACACTTTCTTTTATATGAGAAGTCCTTATTAATAATTCATATCCTTGTTTGTCATATTTTTATCAAAATCAGGAGATATACCAATCATCAACGCAGTAGCTGCTTGGGTCGGAGGATTCTCTCTGTCGTAACATTGGCCTTCACTTTGTATACAGGGGCGTTGTTTCAGATTCGTCTGGGATGTAGTTTCGTAGAGAAGCCCATTGCTGTTCTAAACGCTCTGCTGTGTGATTTTTTTTTTCGTTTACACTCAGGAACACATGAGGATTCTGTTTTCAAATATTGTGCCATTTGAGTCTAAATCGTTTGATAATCTTGCTATATCAAAATCTTTCCTCGAATATGGTTGGATATATTCCTTCAGTCATTTATGTATACGTGTCTTCGGTAAACTGTCGAACGGTCGAGAACTCTTCGTGAACCAAATATATATATGCTGTACATGTCTCCTGCTCATTACGTCATGGCTCTATCTATACCAATACCCCACTGCTAACACAAATGCAAATCGTTCATATAAAATGCGATTGATCTTCTGTGTTTATTGTTACTTTAATATTATATTGAGTACCTCAAAAAAGATGGAAAAAAGCCCCTCTTTCCTCATCTAGAAAAACATCAGCATTCAGTGGATGAGTTGAAACAATTTGAACAATTATACTGTTCAAAATATCTGTATCATAGCTTTGAAATCTAAACAATTAAATGCATGCATACTTCAAAAGACATAACCATTATTACCTGTTCTGCTCGTGTGTCCCACTCACAAGTACCTTTAATGTGAAACATCCTGGTCCCGTCTTTGTCGTAGGTGTCATGGTCGTGGATGTTTCGAAAGCCGCTAGCGTGACCTCCCATGAAAGTTATCATCTTACCCTTGAAGATGTGAAGGAAATGTTTGGGCTCAACACCTTGAACCACACGAACCTGTTAAATAAAAACCCTAATTACCAGAAATGAAAAGAAAAACGCATTGAACCCTTCCAAACCTCACCACAATTACCCATATAAAAAGGGCTATTTTTTTCTCAGTAATTACTGTAATTAAAGATTAGGAAGCCTAAATATTAGAAACGTTTATAAAGATAAAAACAAGGTAACTAACAAATCCCTTATTAATTTCACAGCAATGGTTAACACAGATTAACTGGTACGTCGATTGCGAATTGCTTAGCTTTAAGCTTTTACTTTACTTCATATTTAAATATATAAAAATAAATGTTATTGTATCAAACGTCTTAAACTAAAAATGAAAATTTATTCGTAATTTTAGCGAATTCCAGAATGTCCACTTTACCTGAGTAGCTTTGCCTCCCAGATCATTGTCCAGTTTAACAGTCCAGATAGCTGACGAGGTTTTTTCATCCTGGGTACTATCCAAACCCTGTAAACCAAGAAAAATAGAACAATGGTCCATAATTTAAATACAAATATATCTTGAAAGAAAGGTAGTACTGAAAAATAGAATCTACTCTAAATTTTTAAACATTAGAAACAATCAAGTAGTATACACCACATAAATCAAAAAGTTGTCAAGAATCTGGGAAGTGTAAACTTACAATATAAACTTACAATGTAATATATAAATTCAAATTAGTAACGTTAATTGGGTTAGAGACTCTTCAAACTACACTAAAAGAAAACTAAAATAGAAATTGCATATAAATAGTTTTGACAATTGTGTTTTATAAACCTATGGTTTGAATCAAAAATTGACTTTAGAAACAAAAACAAAGTCTCTAATCACCTGCCAAAAGTAAATAATGAAGTGTTGTCGTTCATTTTTCAAGTACGTGTATTTGATAACATAGCTGTCACCACCAAAAAAGAAACCGTATATATTGGGGTCGAGAGGTGATAGCTCGAAATTTTCGATTCTCCATATCTACAAAGTTAAATAACAATTATAGATATTAATATTCATGTTTCAAACAACCTAATAAATACATACTTCATTATAATATTTTTGATTATTTAGCTCTATTTTTATTTAAATTTCATTATTAAAACTAATATACAAGAGGAAAACACTTTTCTCTCTTCTATGTAAATTTGAGCAATATTCTGGTTCACAATATTCTTATATGTAACACATAATATATTTAAAATTTTCTTTCTGTTTGGTTTGGTTTTGTTTGTTGTTGTTGTTTTTTTACATCTGATAAATACAAGTACAACATAAGAAAAAACTGAAGCTGGTCTCTTTTTTTTTTACTATTATTATTTTTGAAAGTGACATTTCTTGTTATATATATATATATATATATATATATATTCATATAAATACAAAAGTTCAAAATACAAAGTTATAATCAACTGCAAGATGATGAAAAGTTCAGTACCTAAACCACAGATGAACAATTAAATTAAATTCGCGCAGAACATCACAAGCAGATATGATAAATTATAATAATTACAGGGTATAATTTCAGGAAGATAACTACTGCGGAAGCACCTAGAAGGCGTTGGTGTTGGGGAGTATTATCACGTTTTCTCCAATTATCTTTCAAAAGCAGGTAACAAACTAGTCATGACGAACAGCTAAACAAGAGGTAAAGCCAAAGTGCTTAAACCTGTAAATTCCTAGATTTAGACTACAATTCATCATCCATGGCCAATTGTGGATGTGGTATTAACCTTATACAATATATATTTGCGTATATGAATCAAACATTTCGTTTTCCATACCTCAGTCTGTCCCGAGCCATCATCAGGCATAAAGCCAAACGCTTTTCCCAAACTTTTAGCAATCAGTCTCCTTTTTTTCCGATGAAGAGACAGAATGTTAAATCCTCCATCTGGTTGAGTTTCTAAAAAGTGAGAATCGTCTAAAATGTTGTTGTTTTTTTGTTTGTTTTTGTAACTAATTCTAAGAAACTTGGGCTAAAGAAGAGCTAATTCATAGACCTGCCTTAAATGAAAAACATTATCACAATCAAGTCATATTATAACGGTTAAGAACATTGAGCATGGTGTTTAACAGTGTACAGCAACTGCTTAGAATGATTTTGAATAAGTACTAATCTTTGAACACTTCAGTTAGAACGCTTGCATAGCAATAGATCTTGGCAAATCTTAGAACACTTCAGTTAGAAAGCCTACATTATGATAGATCTTGGGAAATCTTGGAACATTTTAGTTAAAAAGCCTACATTACGATAGATCTTGGCAAATCTTTGAATACTTACAACGTTAATTACTATTGTTAATAAAATCGTTAGAAGAAGGTCAATATGTACATTAACTAATTTTCCTACGCATTTGCTTCATTATGTCACATAAATCAAAATTCTTGGGGAAGGTGAACAGCTCTTTTTTTGTCGAAAAACTATCTTACTTCAAGTCTAAGATGATAACTGTGCTATATAATACTAACTTCATTAAACATGTTTATTTCAATGAAGTGTCTTAGAGGTTATTTCATGAAACCGTATCATTAGATCACTTTACATGTAACATAAATTACCCTTTTATGGTTTTCTTGGTCAGTTCACCTGTTACCGATCCGTCAAGTTATTTCTTTATACTGTTAATCTTGTATTGGGCCTTTTTTATACCTGTATTACACCTTCTTTATACTTAGATTATACAATTCTTAAGCCTATATTACACCTTCTTTGTATATGTATTACACTTTTGTACCTGTATTATATCTCTTTATACTTGTATTACACCTTTTTTATACCTGTATTATATCTCTTTATACTTGTATTACACCTTTTTTATACCTGTATTATATCTCTTTATACTGGTATTACACCTTTTTTATACCTGTATTAACATCTACATTATAGTCCAATACACAATGCTTATTATTCAAAATGACCCCACGAGTGACCCACCAGCTATCTCCTCAGGTTTGTAAACACGACCGAGTCCAACCTGATCTTCTTGTTCTTTCCAGGAGGCAAAGAATTGTTTAAACATGGGTGGTTCTCCTCCTTCGATGATTCGTGTAATTGACACCCATTTCGGATAGTTACGGTAATCTAAGTATTTCTGAAATAGGAAGAAATTTCATTAAAAATTATAGTAATAATGCGCTCATACTCATACTCTATACCATATTTCTTATAGTTGGATAAGCGTGTTTAGCCTCACTTCACAAGAAAAAAACATATACTATTCATGTTTAAGGCTATATTACATAAATAACTTAATTCACGAATTTACTACTCATGTTTAAGGCTATATTACATAAATAACTTAATTCACGAATTTACTACTCATGTTTAAGGCTATGCTATATACATAAATTAATGCAAGTATTTTACAATGAGATGCAATCTTTTCAGCTTCTCTTCAAAGAAATACTTTTATCTTTCTACCCTGGCTTTTCCGATAACTTTGAAAACAGAATATTTTGTTCCTGCAGAACAAGAGTTCTTAATGTTATTCTTTATTTTGTTAATTAAATAGCTGTTGTATTTTATTCCCATATTTTCATTACATTGTTTAGCTTTGATTGCACATTACATTGTTTAGCTTTGATTGCACATTACATTGTTTAGCTTTGATTGCACATTACGTAGGCATATGAAATATTCTAATGTTTTAGAAGCATTTAAAATCAAAATTATTTTTCTTTTTACGCATTATTTTCTTTCAAAATATTGAAATTATGTTCATTATTAGCGTTATTCTCGTTTTATGAATCCAGAGACAGTGGATGTAGTCTATATTCCGGAAGTTACATCCATTTTTGACAGTTTTTCGAATTGGTTAAAGCTAGAAACGATACTGGAATGAAACAAAGAAAAACAACTGCACTTTGCAGACGTAAATCTTTCCCACGGTTGTGTTTTTAATTGATAACATAAACGAAACGGAGATAAACACAATTACTTATCTGCTTCAATAACTGTATACACACACACACACACACACACACAAAACAGACCGCAAAATTCCCTGTCAAAACGAAGTTATGCATTATTCATCCACAAGTTGAAATTAAAATTAATTGGATATGTAAAAATATATATTGATTATTTACAATAGTTCCTAATAAACAGAAACTAAATCTGCAACTTATTTACATAAAAACATAACAAAATGTATATATACACTAAATAAGTATAATAGGAGTTGATAGGCTTACCTAGAGGTACAGCGCAATAGTTATACTGTAGAAACATGCGCCAGAATAAGTTCGTACACATAAATTATGCACGAAATAAATGCGACCTATAAAGAGTCATGCTTTTGTAGTATTCCAAGTAGGAGTTGATTTATGTAAACTAATGTGTAGAGTTGTCATTGAAGAAATACATTAACTAATCATAAATACAGCTTCCACCAGAGTGAGATTATTTATATACTATTAATGGCTGGAGACGGCTTGAATGGGTAATGAAGAAAACTTTAATATAAGTTTAACATAACAGCAAATGTACAACGTTTCGACAAGTCGAAGAAATACAAGTTGAAGAAATACATTAACTAATCATAAATACAGCTTCCATCAGAGTGAGATTATATATATACTTTTAATGGCTGGAGACGGCTTGAATGGGTAATGAAGAAAAACTTTAATATAAGTTTAACATAACAGCAAATGTACAACGTTTCGACAAGTCGAAGAAATACAAGTTGAAGAAATACATTAACTAATCATAAATACAGCTTCCATCAGAGTGAGATTATTTATATACTTTGTCATCATATAAAACCTTTTCTCACCTCAGCTATTTTCATGGATTCTTTTCTCTCTCTTTGGCTAGCACCTTTTCCAACCCATACGAACAGACTACTAACACCACTATCTAAGATGAAGCATTGCTGAAATAAAGTACACATACATATTTCATTTAATAAAAAGTACTGTTATTTTTTGTCATTATTAAGTGTAGACCTCATAATCTACAACGTCAAAATATATATTGGTTGACTATTATCGAAGTGAAATTTTCAACTCCGTTTTCATACTTCGCTCTAAAAATTTTGCTATTAAAAAAAGTATTGTATGTGAGGCTTTTAAGTCAGGCAACTTTAAAACTATGAAGTTATATTAGAAATAAGAGGATGGTACTATTATGCCAAAAGTGTTTTTTGTAGCGTATTATATAGTGTTTAACTATGTCTTATATAGCGTTTAATTATTTAGTTATTGAAAAATACTAAAGTTCGAGCAATATTTCAATGGACATTAAAGGGTTTGAAAACATTACAAAAATAGTGTTTTTAACGACAATAAAACAAATATTTTTGTAAAATAAGTATTTTCGTATTATATAACAAATGTATATATATTTATAAATAAAAATAAAAATACATTACATTACTATCCAAGAGTTTTTGTTTCAAAGGTTTTTCAGCAATATGTTCCACCTTCAGTGGCCCTTCATCATCAGAGACCCTAGTAAATTGATAAATATATAAAGATGCAAGCGGATATTTTTGTAACACTTCAATTAATATATAAAAATATCATGAACAATAACTTTAAAGTATAAAAAAAAATCAAACAAAATTTTTTATAACAAACAATGAATATACTGGTATTTGATTTTTATTACATTATTGTTCATAGATATTACATTTCTTAGAGAATGGGATATTTTTTAGGTAAAAAAAAACTAATTATTCATAAAGTAATCATGTAATTACGCAGTTTTTATTGCTAATGACTTCTTCTTTGTGTTTCCTCAAATGTTACGTGATAGATTTCGCTTTCCTCAGTATCCATATCTATTTGTATTCTAGTTATGGGACATATATGTCTATAATAGTTTGAGACTTTCCTGGAATCTAGCTTTCATTTGAAAAAAAAAAACAGTTTATCACATCGCATGCTTCAAAACAAGCGTAAAACACTTCTGGTATTAGAAAGCTAAACCTTTTTGTTTTGACGTTTATGTAAATATTTCCAAACAAGGCCTAGTAAATGACACTATTTAAAAGCCAGAATTAACTCGCTTCAATGATGGTGAATTATGTCATTATTAATAAATCAAACGTGAGCCATGTGTTCTGCAAATAGCAGTTATGTAAGAAATGGCATTACTTGTACAGTGTCACCGCCGTTTCTTTCGTACGTTCATGTTCAACGTCGTCACCTCCCTCAGTAGCCTCTTTTACATCACTCTCAGAGCCGCTGCCTAACTCTTCGAAGAACTTTTGGTGGTCAGCAGGGCTGCTGTGTTCATCTATAATATAATACGAGTTAACTGTACGCACTCAGATCCTACGTTCTTTAGAACTAACAGCTTAACGAAGAAAATAAAAACCCAAAACCATCGTAGCTACTATATTCATTTATAACTACTAAAAGTTTTAATATTGAGAATAGTTTCAAAAGGTGTTCAACATTATAAAATAGAAAGTAATTACACAGTCTATACTTGCCACGAGGTTTGTGTATTTTCTGATGAACTATCTTTGTGTTGAATATTATGCAATATACACACACGTCATAAGAATGTGACTTCAAACACTACAATCACGAACCACTATTGTGGCTCATAATAGGGATCGCAAAGAATTGCACAAAATTCTAATAGCACGTTCGGACAAAAAGCGCTAATTACTTAAACAGTAAAGATTCAGTTCAAACAATCCTTTAAGACCTTTACTATTGACTGCTAAGGCTGTACACGTATAAAAGTGCACAAAAAAAGCATGCATGTTAGAATGACAAGGAAAAGAAAATCCGCTAAAAACGTCCCGTTTTTAATTCTTCTTAATATTATTATTCTCTTACCAGTCTACAACAAAAACGGCTTTGTATATTGCACACAAAATAAGGTACTGCGAAGATCGTATTCTAGTGTAAACGATGTTATCATTACCCCTTGAAGTTAGCTTTCTTACAAATATGTGTTTTTGTTGTTTTTTTTCCTTAAAAAAACTTAAATACAGGGTAAATTACCAGGCAATAATTATAGATGAACATTAGATGACTATAACATGTACATACCCAATGCTTTGTACGCTATACAATCGGTGTCTTTAGGGAGCAACCTCTATATTATGTATAAAGTGAAGGATTAAAAAAAAATCAATCCACATAATATTACATTTTATTACACACATTCATAGAATAATTACTATAAAAGACACGAAGATGTATTTAAAGCCATGTTTTAGACGTATATGTTTTATTTGAAAATGCTGCTTTTCTAGTGGTGAAATTGTTTTATCGCTTAGTGGGGATTGTTTCGTAGTCTATACATATATTTACTCATTGCTATGCATTATGTATCGAAAATTTAGTTACACATTTTGTATTTTCTGTACAAGTAGTATCTTTTGTGCGCCAGGATGATCGCTCTAATAACTGGATTAAAAGATTAAACCCGCCATCTACTGTTATTAAGGCACTTCTTAACAAATCAAACTACCAAATTCCTTCCCACTCACAAATAAGGACCATTCTAAGGCCTGATTTCAGGGTACTATGATTTATCTCAATGTTCATATAAACTTGAGATGTTCTCTGAGGTCCAGCTGGACACAATACTACTTGAATAGATACGAGCGCCATCTTAGGGAGTGGTTGAATGTATCCTCAAACTGAGAATTCTCTGGTGGCCGCTACACGTGGAAGTGCCTGGTGTACAACTAGCCGGCATTCACCATTCAATTCATTAAACTACTATTCCATCTACAATGATGATTGGTAGTGTGCACCTACCAAATGTATCTCCTCTGGTGCTGCTGCCCAGCACTAAAAGTAGTAAAATGCTGAAGACTGGTAGCCAAGAATCACTACAAATGAGAGCTAAGTGCAGCCTGGCTTACTAGCAGCTGCTGGTCCCAATCCCAATCTTGGCAGTTGTTTTGGTTTTAAATCTTTCAAGCCTCTTCGGGACCTGAAAGATAACCAGGGACGCTCAGAAATGGTTGTTTCTCTTCGCCCCGCTCGCGAAACTTGGTAATTTTTAAAGTTTAGAATCGTGATAGTTGTAGAGATATCGAGTAGCTTCTTGGTGTAGTATAACGTGTGAACTCAAGACTGCCGGGAATAGCGTGCTGAGAGACAAGAAACAGGAAGTCGGGAGACGGAAGGAGAGGTTGAAAATGCATGGTGGGTGATGATATCTGAGTGTCTAGACCAAGGCTGAGACGAAAGTAGCTAATTCCTGGGTAATGACCGATCTGAAAGAGATACTAAGTCATGACAAAGATTCAATGCATTATTGATTTTATCTTTGGGCCAAGTTCTTATAGGATTTATAGATTTTAATTGTACTAAGGTTAAAACCTCATTTCATATAAAGACGTCTACACTTGTATTTAAAGTGGCTTACCGTATTAGGTATTGATTAGAGTCTAACATTAATTTTGATTCTGATTCTGTAGTCTACTGTTTCTTTTACTGGTTCACAGAACGATCCTTTTCAGGGATGGGATCCAAATTTCAAGGGAAAATTTTGCTATAAGGGGAAACGGAATACCCCGAGAAAACCTACTTTCACAGCCGGGGCGCCGAATACAATTCTTGAGTGGGGCAAGGATTATTAAAACCTGTAGGTTACACAAAACCTTTTAAAATAAACTTGAAAGGTGAAAAATTCGAAAGTAGCCTCGGAAATGCTTGATCGAAATTGTCTTTGGAGTTTCAGTTGTCTGTGGATATGGTGTCTAGGTGAGCGTAGCACCGCTTGTTTGGGTACAGGTCCTTGGTTAAACGGAGATGGAGCTTCGGTCATGCAGGCATAGGGTGATTAGCTGCTGGTAGTCCATTTGATTGCCCTTGCAATAAAGTCTACGACCAAAACGAAGACCTTCACAGGTGTGTGTGTGTCAGATATATGTGTTCTAGTGACCCCCACCTCCCTACAGAATCTTAAAATCGAATTATTTTGTATCTATAAACACATACGCATATGTTAGCTACAAAATGGTGACGTAGCTCATGTACGAGTAAGAGAAAAGTGAGTTAAGCTTTTAAAACTCATATGAAATTTGTTGGCTTCATCAAGTAATATCGAAATGAAAAACACGTGTTCTTTTCCTTGGTAAAAAATGTTGTTATCAGTATTGTAAATAATAAACATATATATATGTAATGGAAAGTTTAGATTCTAAGGTTTCATGCATTCCAAATAACTTTGGTCTACATAAACCTACTCCACCTGATACCCAGTTATTTTCCATTAGAAAACTCAACTATCTGTCAAGCATACAAAAAGAGGTCTTATTTTAGAAGGCTTCGTGTCTACATAAACCTACTCCACCTGATACCCAGTTATTTTCCATTAGAAAAGTCAACTATCTGTCAAGCATACAAAAAGAGGTCTTATTTTAGAAGGCTTCGTGACTCTTTCATTATTTTTCATGAAATTGATGAAACAAAAATAATAGTTACTCAATTATTACTATGTCTGGCATATTCCAGCCGACCTGATGAGCCCTGAAACTGGACGAAAGACCTTGTCGCACTAGATATGGTTTCACTCACAAATTCTTGGGAATACTGACAAAAATTGATCTATCTTTAAAAAACTTAATCTTTCTACTTGCAAAAACGATCTTACTCTTACTCTATACAAGAGGTTTCACATTTATAGTTACAAAAAGCGATCTTGCTGTAGAGAGTATCACCTTTCTATCATATTTAGATATATATATGTATATATATATATAGATAGATAGATATTGTGTCACTTTAATTTAGCTGTTAATTTCCAAAAGCGATAGTTAGGGAGTCGAATTTTTTGTGAACGAAACACTTTGTTTATTTTTCAATATCAGGTTTGTTGGTTACATACACGTAAAAAGGAAGCAAATATATTTTGTTTGCAAAGCTATCCACTTTTTGAAAATATTATTCTTTAAACATAATTCAGTCTACACTTATCTATTCTAATCTACTCTTAGCACCTTTACTTAGGATAGGTCTAATTAATTGACACTTGCACTTTTAGCCCCCTTTTTCAGTCTCCCAGTTTCTCACCAGTAAGCTTCACGGCTTACAACATTAATGTTTGGGATTCGATCCGTGCAGCTGACACGAAGCAGAATGTTCTTTGGATAGCTTTGCGCTAAGACAGACATTCGTTACATCTTGTTTGTTTGTTTTTTGTTGTTGTTTTTGACGTAAGTAAACAATCCTTCTGATTATAGAAGATAAATTATATAGGTATTAACACATTTACACTGTTTAATGAGAACAAATGCATTTAATACATCCTTTTATTTCACGATCTTTGAGCATAATCGATATGATTAACAAAGATACATACATATATATATATATTGTACTGATGTGAAAATGTTATAAATACAAAAAGGTTTAAGTTAAGCTGTGAGAAACTGAGAAAGATATGTTGAAGAAGAAGGCGTTTTCATCCTTTTCCTGTTACTCGGTTTATCAGCGTTAACTCATCAGTCCTCCAACAGGATTTCCCTAACATAACACACGTATCTACTACCGATAAATTTCACAACCCGTGCTTGAAAACCATGTTTACTTCAGATTGTTCTCTTTAAATATTAAACTTCACTCTTGTGTTGTTTAAATAGAGCACTTATCTCAACGTTCTCACTATAGATGAACTCATTTTATTAATTATCTCAACATTCTCACTATAGATGAACTCATTTTATTAATTATCTCAACATTCTCACTATAGATGAACTCATTTTATTAATTATCTCAACATT